TGACTTCTTTTTATTAAAGGCGACACGACCCTGCGCTATCCTCTGCTTTATATCCCTACTACTCCTTCCATCCTCACTTATCTGACTTCCTAGGTATCTAAAATCAGCCACTTCTTCTAATTTTTCGTCTCCTATCTTTATATTCGCCTTTTCCCTACTTTTTCTTCCCTCGCATACCAGTATTTTAGTTTTACTTTTATTTATTTTCATACAGTAATAGAACTTATTATTTATACATGAGTGGTTTTATTAATTTAACTTATAATAGCCGATTTGAAAACAATTATGAACGCGTAGGAAAAGTATAGAGTTTCCAGGATATTCTCAAAATACTGTAAAATTTCGATTCTGAAACGGAGATAATTTTTACATAGCAGTTTCATAATTACCGCCATAATATCGGGTGAAAAGTGTATAAAAATATCATTGTTGACGTTGCTTAAATAAAAGTGTAATTTGAATACACTTTAAAACTAAAACTGAATTAGTTCCGGTGTTGACTTTCTTCAATAATGAGAGTGTCAATTAAGTTTAAGAGGTGTTAAAATTTTCTGCTACAAACTAATGCAAAGGTACTCTTTCGAATTTTGTTGTAAGCACCAAAAACCCCACGAAATAATGAACAACTCTGTTAGTAACAAATGGGAATATGCAATATTTACCAAAACTTTCATCTTTGGTATTATAGTTGCACTTACAATAGTAAACTAATAGAGCAGAGTTAGAAAAAACCGTTTAAATACTTGAGATTGACCTTCGTCGACCGTCAGAACAGTATTACGTTAACCCTTCAAATAGGAAGAAAGGAAACTAAAAAATTATTAAGAACAAAAATATATGTGTATGTATAATCTATATGACATACACGTACAGTATATACATATAAATGTATTGTAGGTATACATTTATGATAGGCGTTCACCCGTTGAGATCTAATGTATAGTCCTTGTTAGCGTTCTTTGCGTAAGTAAAGTAAAGTAAAACAATCTACGCGGTACTCTTAAATCTGCTCTCACTCAAGCACATAAATATTAATCGGTATATTTTAATTAAGGAAATATTGTTTATACTTGGTATGTAATACGACTCCTACGTTCAAACGGTCCATCTACGTACATTATAGTTGCGGAAAATGCTATTGAGTATAAGCGTGCGTGAAAATGTTATCATAATAAGCAACACAATTTTGTCACAAAGTCGCCAATTTGTCCTAGGTATATCTTGTCATTCCCGAGTCGAAAAATTGGGACTCATTTTATCCTCAAATGAACTATTTAGACTCATTTTTTCCTCATTTAGACGTTTTTAATCTCAGATACCTCAATAAGTTTTCATAAGACTCATCACATTGGATTCTAAAAAGTCTCATTTTATTCTCAATGTCTGCAATCCTATGGCAATAGTCCTCAATTTAACCTCAACAAGAAAAGAATGAGACTTTTTGAAGACAAAATGAGGTTTCCTAAATAATCTTTACTCCTCAAAAGTCTCATTTTGTCTTGATACGGGAAAACCGCGGATAAAATGAGACTTTTGAGTCTTGTAGTTTGAAATATCCCTAAAAATTCTATTGAGATCAAATGAGGACAAAATGAGTCCCAATTTTTTGACTCGGGTTATCATCATAATAAGGTCGTCAGTCCTAAGACAGGTTGGACACGCATTTCCACTCTTTCCTATCCTGAGATGATCTTCACATTTCCCTAAAACTAGAACAGCCCAGACCCTTAACTATTTGCGAATAGTAATCTAATCTAGGTTTACCTCTACCCACCCTAACTTTCGTTTCTGCCACTAATATGTCTCTTACCAGACCTTCATGTCTATGAAGGTGTCCTACTAACCCATCTCGCTTATTTCTTATTGACATCCATAGTCCTCTGTTCTCCTATTCTTTCTAATACCTTTTCATTTCTAACCTTCTCTGTCCGCGGCATCCTCATCAATCGCCTGTAACACCACATTTCGAACACTTTTAACCTTGTCTTTTCTGCCTCGTCCACTGTCTATGCTTCGCACCCGTACAGCGCCGTGTTCCAAACATACACCTTTAAAAACCTTTTCAAAATTTATAAATTAACCGTTCCCGATTATAGAAGTGACTTTTATTGAAGGCGACACGACCCAGCGCTATCCTCTTCTTTATATCCCTACTGCTTCATCCATCCCAACATATCTGACTTCCTAGATATCTAAAATCGGCCACAATTTTTCGTCTCCTATTCGCTCTTTCCCTACTTTTTCTTCCCTTGCAAACCAGTATTTTTGTTTTACTTTACAATACCGCTTCCATTTTATTTAAGGCTATCTCTAACTCTTTCTTGCTAGATGCTGCTATATTATCTGCAAATCTAAGCATACTAATCTTTTGCCCTTGCACATCTATCCCTACAGCTGTACTGTCTTTAATGTGATCGCGTCTTCGATGTATATATTAAAAAGTGACAGGGTAACGAGAAACATTCGTTAATACTTAATGTTTTTTTATACACGCAGCCACTATTTTTCAGCACAGGATAAATATGGCTGGCTCATGTTTGGACGAGTTGGAAACATTTTGCTTTCTCGTTTAATTCAATTGCTTTTTTTTGTGTTTAGATGAAAAGTTACATAATTACGATAAAGCACTGAACTTTTCCATGTGCGATAATACGTTAGTAGAGGAAAATTCCCAAGTGACACCAGGAAAAGTTGTACCACCTAAGTAGAGAAAAGACCAGCATATAACGCGAAGAAATTTCCCGTTGGGTATTTGACCAAGTGACCCGATTTACTGTGTTTCAAGTGCAAACTCTTCTATAATTAAATATAATATTTAGTAAAGTAACATTGTAAGTAGTGCAGTAAAATGTTGTCATCATGCACTACAAGCAGTTTTTGTTAAAAGATCGAGAACAAGCACAACTGTCAATTTATTTTTCTAATCAAGTACGAGAATTTGTACCTCCGGTAAGTTAAGAGTTTTTTTCAGGTTTATATCTAGGGTTGTACACATTTGTTTTTAATTGCGATCCCTTGACGTCGTAGTTTAAAATTGAACTAAGGAATACCTGGTTATATAACGAGAAATTGCAATCTGTAGGAATATTTTGAGCAAGAATAGGAAAATAATATTTAGTATTTTGTTATAGGTACATAAATATTTTAAATCTGATTCATTCATGGTTTTACCAAGCGCTGGTCCTGTTCTAAAGTTTGTTCTTGTGTAGGTATGTTTGCAAGTGAAAAGATTGACATTGGCATTCTTGTTACTGGAGCGTAAAACGTATTTTTTGATATTATCTCTGAGTTAGGTATTTTTATGTTAGATATAGCGAAATTGTAATATTGTATGGCCCGATTTCGTAATACTTATCCAATTAATCAAGAAGAAAAAGCTACTGATTCGTTCACATCATAATAAATTGGGTAATAGGAAACAAGACAAAAAAAAACTGTACCTACTTGTCTACCAATTTTAACGATTAAATGTGGATATGTATATATTTTACTGTAAAAGCCAGAAGAAGTTTTACCTGTAAATGTTAAGATTTACTAACAGGATAAATGTAAGAATTAATATAAACTGGAGATCGTCATTCTCGAATTTGAGTACTAATTTTTTTGCACTACATACCGACTTACTCTATAAAAAGAAGTCACTATGCTTGCGAACGGTTAATTTAGAAATTCCAAAAATATTGTTAAAGGTGTATGATTGGAGCGTGGCGCTGTACAGGTGCGAAACATGGATGGCGCGCGCGGAGGAAAATAAAAGGTTAGAAGCGTTCGAAATGTGGTGTGTGTGATGAGGATACCGTGGATGGAGAAGGTTAGAATTGAGAAGGTATTAGAAAGAATAGAACAAAGAACTCTATGGAAAACAACAAAAAGTAGGCGAGATATGTTAGCAGGATACCTTCTCAGGCATGAAGGTCTAATCAGAGGCATATTAGAGGCAGAAACAGGAGTTAAAAGGAGTAAAGGTAGACCTAGATTAGAATACTGTTTGTAAATGGTTAAGGATGTAGGTTGTTCTAGTTTTGGGGAAATGAGAAGATTAGCTCAGGATAGGAAAGATTAGAGGTGCGTATCCAGTTAGTCTAACGACATTATGATGAGGATATCGACTTAGAGATTACATATAAAACGATTTTTCAAGTTTTTTCCACTATTGTTTGGTACATGCTAGTTTTTATAAGTGACGAAAGGAAAGGATACTTATTAAACATTACAATTGTAAATTTTAAATTTTTAAAAGCCAGTCCTTTAATAACAATGCGAAACTAACCTCTTATTAGGGTGTTTACCAACTGGGTGCCAAAATTGTAATATGAATCAGGAAAACATAACTAAGATAGAAGAAGTTATTAGAGATAAATGATCAATATTTAAAAGGTTGTCGGAAAATTGATTGACCAGAGAATAGGTATTCGAAAAATGCAAACCGTATAAAAAATTTTCAAGAAGAAGTGTACTTGCAAATCATCAGGATTATTTCGTTATTAATGTTTTTCCATTAATAAATGATATTTAAAAATACGTTTTAATGGTAAGCCAACGTAGATGTTCTAATTTCTTATCAGTCCCTACATTGTTGATAAATCCTGAGATTTATAAGTAAGTTCGAATGTTTAACAGTACATACGTATACGTACATATTGTCTACTTCGAAGCAGTGGCTTTATATTGTATTAAGTTTATTGAAGTGGTTAAAGATCATTTTCTGATAGAAAAGAAACTCTTCTGGGAATTCTTATTTTTTTTAAGAGTTACTGGAAAATCCGCTTAAAAGTCCTTCTGCCTGTTTTAAAAAACTAAAAGTTAATATTGTTCAAGGAAAATATTCAAATGTTCCGTGAAAGAATTAATATCAACTCTATATATATTTCGGCATGCTATCGTAGTAAGCCTTTTTCGTTGGTATTTTTGTATACAGATATTGCTGACGTCCTAAGTACCTATTGTACTTTATTTTACATAGAAGATTCTTGGAAACCAAAATAAACATCTAAAATTGTGGTATTTTTAGTATTTTTATATGTATCTCCGTTCGTTGGTTTACAAATATATTTTTTCATTTCTTACTGTTTTGGTAAACTTAGTCTGTTACCATTAAGAATTTATGTAGCCAATATTTTAAACTCATTTTCATCCCTTATGTGTCGTTGAATTATAAACAAGTACCTGCCATGTTGTATACAGAATTTCCGATTTTAATTATCTTATATTTAAACATAGTCATATAAGAAATGCTTTTAATTAAAAAGTAAAATGAATGTTTTCCTCACATGAGTTAAATAAACTTGTGACAAAAAGAATGCTTGCCATTGTAGCTATTAATCATAAAATTAAACATTTTTGTCGGATACATACTAGAACCAACAGGAAAGTTCAACTGCGACTTAAAAACACTGGAATATAACTTTCAGTTATGTGTTATGTTTATTTAGAAAAACCAATCAGTATAACAGACGATTTATTCATACGTATCATTACAATCACAGTCGACAAGTTATGTCTGTCAGTTTATATCTTAAGCATGGGTATGAACATGTCCAGAAGGTCCAGCAACTGATGCAGCGAATCCATGATGATCATGATGATCTACATGAACAACTGGTACATGAACTGCATGATGTACTGGTACGGGGGTGTGGTGAACAACTGACACGGGAACGTGATGAGCAACTGGTACAGGTACTGGAACTGGATGCGGAACGGGTAATGGTACAGGATGAGGATACGCTACAAGGTGGGGAACTGCATGATGAACAGCATGAGCAATGGCGTGACCATCATCATGAGCTTCATGGTCCTGACTCTCTATTAGTCCTTCTCCGTGCCATTGTCCATCATCATCATGGGCTTCGTGGGCAAAAGCGCCGTAAGCTCCATGTTGAGCTTCATGATCTTGACTTTCAAGAAGTCCTTCTCCATACCATTGCCCATCATCGTGATGGTCGAAGATTGCACTGGCGTTGGTGAAGGCAAGCAAACAAGCAAAAGTTGCAACAATCTAGAATGAGCAGTCACTTTTTTTGTAAAGGAAATACTTAGTAATGTAAAAAATAATAAGTAGGTACTTACCCTAAATGCCATTGTTGTCGATTGGTATGCTTTCTACGAGTCTAACAATTTGACTGATCAACTGCACGACAATTTTGATTTAAATACTTGAAATTGGCCTTCAGTCACCTGAAGGACCTTAATCGGTTTGATATTAGGGAGGAACAGGGCATTCTATTACAATAGCTTTCATTAGAGGAAATGTAGACTAATATTGCACACTATGTACAATACGATCTAAAAATAATAATTGCAACATTTTTGTAGTAGATATGTGTTCATGACAAATAGTGACAAATCTTATTTGGCGGCCTTAGTTTCGTTAACTCCGTATTGTATGTTCGAGATTCAAACCTACTTTCTTTGTTTCTTTTGCGCAAGTGAAACTTGACATTGATTAGTTGTTAAGATATATTTATGCGTCTATTAAATTTCGTACCTATATGGTCAGTCGCGATCGAAATAAGAGGAATTGGCATACTTTTGTTGGTAAAGATATAAAGATAAAGAGAGATTGTAGATGAGTAAAAACGCTTTATGGAAAATATAATATTTTTTTTGCGACGGGAAAACAAGATTATTTTAAAATATAATTTCATAGTAAGAATTGCGGTAACACGGCCGGGATTAGATCCAGACGTTTCGCAACTGCGATTGATATCTTCAGTGGTCCTGCGTTGACAATGTTGGTGAAGATTATACTGTGATTAGTTACTTCTGAGATTTCGAGATATAACATTCGTTCACGTTGTCAACGCAGTACCACTGTAGATGTAATATGAACCTAATAGTTCATTTAGACCAGGGCTTCTTAAACTTTTTTCGTTCACGACCCCATTTATGATTGCGAGTTTCCTGGCGACCCCATATAAATATAAAAGAAAGATCAATAAAATTAAAAAAACAAATACACATCTAGATGTTATAAAATCGTATATTTAAATATTTGACATTAAAATTTCTCGCGATCCCAGAACTTTGCTACGCGACCCCATT